TGTTGTATGAATATATGAATCTAATAATATGAAGTTCTTTGAATCTTATGTTATTATTATGCAATGTCAATATGTGATGCATGTTAAGATTTTTTTATTTTTTTCTCGATCTGAAAAACGAAAAAAAATGTTTCTTGCTAACAAAATAATATAAAATAAAAGATGTATCATACATTTTTTTTATTATTAGTGTCTGTTATTTTTTTAGATGCAATTTATATTAGAATCTATTTCGTGATATTTAATAGCTAATGCTTTTCTAGAGCCTAATTTTTCACTAAAAAAATAAATAAATAAAATTTATAAACTTGTTAGATTAGGATGTAAACTAAAATTTTTAATTGATTAAGTAATTTTAAAAACTTATATGTAATATATTTCAATTTTTTTTAACACGTTATTTAAATTAAAAATTATTCTTTAAAATAAGTATAAGATGGTTATCTAATTCGAATTATTAAAAAGTTTATCATTGAGAGAATATGTAAATATTAATCAGAATCATAACTAAAATTAAAAATAATGAAAAAAAGTAATTAAAAAAAAACCATAATAGTAAAAAAAAACAAAAAAAACAACAGAATAAAAAAAACAGAAACAGAAAATTAAAAAAAAAGAAAAAAAAACGTGAAAAAAATCAAAAAGAAAAAGAAAAGATGAAAGGAGAATGAAAATAAAAATTAAATATAAAACTAATAAAATAAAAAGTAAGAAACAAAAAAAAACGTAAAAAAAAGAAGTAACCAAAAAAAAATTAAAAAAGGAGAAAAAGACAAAATCTAAAAAAAAGAAAAAAGAAAAAGGAGAGAAATAGATTTTACAAAAAAAATGAAACAAAATTAAAAAAGAAAATTAAAAAATAAAACAAAAATGTACGAAAAAAAAGAGACAATGTTGTTTCATTAAAAAAAAAAGATATTCCTAATCTATTTAGGATTTTTTTGATAAAACTAACTTCAAATCTTATAAAATTTTACTTTTTTTTATTTTAAATCTAAAATAAATAAACAAACAAATAATCATAAATTGACTTGAACTAATTACACAAAAAAAAAAGACCCTTTAAAATAAATAAGTCAGTTTCAAATAAGTTTAGAATAAATCTGAGGATAAATAACAATTTTGTTATTAAGTTTAAATAATACAATGTCCAAAAATTAAGTTAAGTCATACTAAAGTTAATATAGCGACCGTGCCAGAACCACGGGACTCGAGGGGTGCCTAACACCTTCCCCTCGATCAACAAGATTCCTTACCTGAATTTCTAGTTCGCAGACCAATAAAAAATAGAGTCAAATTTTCTTTTGATTAGGGATTTTAAAAAAAGGTGACTTGGAACACTGAAACTCAATTCCAAGTGACGACTCTAAATAATAATTATCCCTTTTCAAAACGTCACTTTAATTGGAAAAACTCTTTTTCTTTCAAAAAATAAAAATAAAAAATAATTGGAAAAAAAAAGGGTGTGACAATTATAACTCTCAGAAACTTACCAGGCCTGTAAAGGGAGATAAATGATAATAACAAATCAAGTGGAAAAACAGTAAATCATTTCATAGAATAGTGTCTAATACAGGGAGGATTCGATTGAACCAACTGTCTATTTAGAGGAGAATACATAATAAGTAGTATGTGAGCATAGGCATTTAGAAATTGGGAGCCGTCAGCACATAACAACACCAATTAATAAAGTAGGCAATGCATTTTTATGTATACACAACGGATACCCAAAAAGAGTCAAAGCTTGATCAAGGATGGCGTGACTCCTCAAAGCTTAGGCATGTAGGTAGCTTTTATATAGTGGAGGCAATTCAAAAGAAAAGTCAAGCGTTTATTATAAGTAAAGGGAAGAAAGTGGAAGTTTTCGACACATTCTTACTAAAAACAACTAAAGAAACTGACAGAGCAAAGTAGTTAGTCGAATATAATTGTAGTAAAAACGAAAAATTGACACTTACAATAGTGTAGGAAGTTCAAAACACTTGTGAGCAGTAATGACAAGTACACGTGCATGAACCTGAAAGAGGGCAGTCAAAGTTGGTAGCTCAGTTTAGATAATTACAGAAGACTTTAGCAACACAAATATGAAGACAATACCAGTTGTATGAAGAAGTAAAGTAGTACTATTTGTTCCAACTATGTGATGCATTTTCCTTTTAATTTTTTTTTTGTAAAAAACGATATCATACTTTTAATATCATCAGTTTTTTCATACTGTGAAACCCATAGGAAAAATAAAAGAAAATTTGGGGATAAAACCCATCCTAATCAGACCACACAAAACTTGGCAAAATTGTGAATTATACAAAGAAAGTCTTGATTTTTCAATTGTGACATTTTTGCAAACATCTTGTGTGCATTACAAATATCAATGTTGAAAATCGCTCACCCTTTTCTATTTTTCCTTTCTGCATGAGTCTCTAAAAGCCCATATTCTTTCACTACATGTTCTTCCTAAACTACCTGAATTAGCAAATTTCATCGTATTTTCACTTCTATTTTTCAGTTAAGAAAATAAAAACTTGAAGAAAAAAAATCAAACCTTGTATGCTAAATCATCAGGTTGAAGAAAGTACTTCCTCAATCTCAACTTAGGGTTGTTCCCTAATTCGCAATTCATTAAATTATTTAATTTTGAACTTTAACATTTAGTCAAATCAGATACACTTCTTTCTAATTTCGATCAAATAACATCATATGACAATAAAGAGTAATAATCGGAAATAAATAGATAGGCAAATTATCAACAGGATCCAAAATCAAAACCAAAATAAAAATGAAAGTTTCAATGAAGTTTAATCAAAGCACTTAGAAGAAGATGATGAGAAAGCAAAGAAAAACAATGAGAGAGAAAAAGCAAAGTGAAAGATTTCCCATTTTTATAAGAAAATCGTTGCCCATACAACATTTTCATAAAAAAAACTTTTAAATCGCTATCTAGGATGCGATTTTAGAGGGACATTTATTTTTACTTTTTTTTTGAAAAATCGTTGTTACTTTGTGGAACTCTTTTTGGTGCCATGCTAGGCAACTATATATAATTAATAATTTTTTTAAATATAATTGGCAGAAAATTAAAATAAAAAACAAATCACTTTAAAAAAATAATTGGCAGAAAATTTCGAAAAACAAATCACTTTAAAAAAATAATTGGCAGGAAATTAAAAAAAACAAATTATTCAAAAAAAAGTGCATAAAATCATTGTCTAACACATCGATTTTACAAAAAAAAGAAATTGCCCATAAAAATCCTACCTACACAATGATTTTCAAAATTTTTTTTTTATAAAAACGCTGCTGTTGCAGCAATTTTAACTTTTTTTTTAAAAAAAAAAACTTTCAAAAACGCTGCATTGGCAGCTATGTTTTTTTTTTAAAAAAAGAAAAAGAATATGGACAAAATTGCTGATAGGTCAGCGATTTTTGAAAATAAAATCGCTGTATTAGTAGTGATTTTATCCTTTTGGTTAGAAAAGAAATTGATATACCCATTTAGTATTTTTGATTTTTTTTTTTTTGCCTTTTAGGCTTTAGACTCAAAGAAAAAAGGGGAAGCTCACCTGGAGCAAGAAACCAGAACTTTGATGTGTTTTGATCATGCATATTTTGTGCTGGGAAAGAAAGAAATATACACGCGTTAAACAAATAGACTGAAGCAATCCATAACCAATGGCATAGGTCCACATTTATAGTACAACCGAACTAACTTTGTGTACCATTCTTAATTGTTATGTTCGGTCACACCAAAGTCTCATTTCTACATATGAGAGATATAATTAGCTAGATAATCTAATTGTCTTAGCAATTTAAATTTAACATAATTTGCATACGTTCAGTTTTACGTTTTGGACATTATAATATTCATATTTTATCAAATTATTTTATACATCTTACAATTAATTTCAATTTTTCATATTATTACCGATTGAATTTCATTCTTTTTTTTAATTATTATTTTTACATTATAAACTTATGTTCTTAAGTATCTTTCAAAATATAAGTAAAGAAAAAAGATAAAAAGTAAAAAATTGAGTAGAATAATAAGATGAAATCAAATTTGAATTTTGATCTATTTAATTGATTTTGTACTAAAAACTCTTTCATACTCAAATATAATGTGAAAAGATAAATTTATACCTTAAATGTAACATTTTATGACCATGTAGCACCGCAAATTACCTAGTATTTTTATTTAAAACTAAAAAAAATTACCCCGTCCCGTGACCCACAATCAAAATAAAAAAGTTATTTATCTTTTTATTATGTAATATAAAAAAAAATAAGTAAAAAGTAAAAAATAAAAAAATGTGAATCGGTAACAAATGGTTACATTGTGGTTAAAGAAAAGAACAAACAAAATAAAAGAGTCATTTATCTTTTTGTTATGTATAATAAATAAAAATAAGTAAAAAGTCAAAAATGAATAAATATAAAAAAATAGAAATTTGTGACTCGGTAGCAAATGGTCACATTGTGGTTAAAGAAAAGAATTTACTTAAATAATCAAAATTCCTAATGATTTTCTGAATTCTAAACAATAGTAGAATACTTTATTAAGTATAAATATTATTACAAAAAATTACAACAGTAAATATAATATAAATATTATTAAAAGGAGCCCCCGGCGAGGATCGAACTCGCGGCCTTTCGCTTACGAAGCGAACGCAACACCACTATGCTACGGAGGCCTCTTTGTTAACTAGTTTCGTCATTTATAATTTTAGTTCTGTACTAAGGACGCCCCAACAAGAAAATTTTATTAGATAAAAACACAATGAAGAACTTCAATTTTTTTTCACCAAATCAAAATTTGTGTAGATAATTATAAAAAGTATGAAATACAATATATTGTTATTTTAAAATATATTATATTATTTCATTTATTTTATCAAGATAAATATTTTATTTTAATATATATATATATATATCCAATAAATATTTGTTATAGCTGCGAAAAAATGGGTAGTATTTATATATAGTTTTTGTTGACATTACAATTTATACATAAGAAGTACAATTTTTTTTCTTCACTGTTCTCATTTGTTTCTCGTCTTCCTCTTGTTTAGTCGTCGTCTTTAAAACTCTCCATTTCACTTGTCAATTGTTTACTCACAAGTCCATAAATCTCCATGGATTTCTGGCAAAAAGCTCGGAGTTTCGCTGAAGAAGCAGCAAAGCGTACCCATGAATTCACTATAGAAGCCGCTAATCGTTCACAGGACCTAACCATTGGTTCCTCAAAACTCTCTGACGTTGTTCTAGAAGCATCCAAACGATCCAAAGAATTCGCTGCTGAGGCATCTAAGAGATCCAAAGAAATTGCCGTTGAGGCTTCCAAACGATCTAAAGAAATTGCTGTTGAAGCTTCTAAACGCGCCGATGTTATTGTTTCCGAAGCTTCTAAACGAGCCGATCAGATCAAAGTTGATGCGCTCAAACGCGCTGAACAGATCAAGTTTCAAATTCCTTCTTCTGCGCTTTCTCACATTGTAGATTCTTCGCCATCTCCGACGACTCAAACGGCATTGCCTGCACCTACGCCTGCCGATCTCCTGAAATTTGGAGTTACCGATGACTTGAGAGAATTCGTTAAGGGGATTACCATTAATACGTTTCAGGATTTTCCACTTGAAGGTAATTTACTCTATCTACTTGATTTTCATGTTACCAGCGCATGTATTGTACTGGAAAAACTATAATATTTCATTTTCGGAGTGAATGTATGTTAAAGAGATTTACCATATTGAGGATATTACATTTAGCTTATGTCAAAATTTCAATCTGATTTTTCTGATAGTAGGAAATGGCGAAGACCATTTTTATTATTATATTTTGCTATTTGGGGAACTATAACTGTACACATATGAAATGTTTTATGGCAGTGGTAAATATGGACATACAACAAAGAAACAACTAGAAGCTCTAGAGAAACTAGGTTTATCGTTTAGTGTTATACAGGAGTTTATACCTACAAGAACATGTTCAAATTGTTTTGGAGTAACCACTACATTCGGCAGTCATTTCATTTATTTGAGATTACTGACAGTATCACTTTTATTTTGAATAGCCCGTATATTCGTTATGTTTATTTTATTACTGCATGTATAATTTACACATGCATAATGATGACACACTATACAGAGGCAAACCAAGTATGTTCAGGAACACACTTTGTTAATATTCTTCTCTAGCATGACGTAAGACGTATAATTTGATCGTTGGGTTACCATTTGAACCATGTGAGATTGGCATCATTAATTTTTAAAGGTGGTAGTAAAATAGTATTAACCTTGAAATCCATTAGTTTGGTTCATCTATGACCTAGCTTAGATCTACAATAGATGCACAACGTTGTTTCATTTACTAGTCTTGACAACCAATTGTATGTTATTACCAGTAGAAAATCCTAACTGTGCTTATATTCTATTTATTTACTCATCCCATTTATATACTTTCTTAATATTCAAATGGTTAAGTCATACATTACACTTAATACCCCTTATCCTTCTTGGAAGTAATGAGTTATATAAATGTCATTGTGCTTGTTTTTGGATAAATAACCCTGCAAAATTTGCATATGGAACATGCCAATTCCAAAGCATTGGTATTGGACACTGTTGGTTGCACCTCTTATAGGAACTGCAAAGTTTGATAGGTATGGGTGGAATTAGATAAAATTATGAAGCGTTAGCAGTTAGCTAAAGAAAAGGTGTATGTGGAAGCAACTCTTTCCTGTTTTCATTTCCTGAATTCTAATAGCAAAAACCAATTTCTATGAAAATAAAACTCGATACATGTGTTTTTGAGATTCTCATCTCATGCAATAATTTATAGAGCTGGCCATTTGTAATATATGGCAGAAAATTTGTTCCAAATTGTGATTTTCCTTCATTTATCAACAACTACTAATATCATGCCTCCATCCCAAGCTAGTTGGAGTAAGCTATATGGATCCTTAATATCTGAACACTCTATTTGGACCCATTTAATTTCACTCAGTAAGCTATTATGGGATTTATCATAAATATACTTGTTTTAGTAACCGTTAACATACCACACTCCTCCTCCTTAGTCTAGGCTTGGGACCAGGCTATATGAGCTAGCTCTCATGGCAGTATTCTATCAAAACAAAAATTTAATTTACCTTACAATTCCTAATGATTCTTCTATGCTTAATCTCACTTTCCCTTGTTTATCTCCTTTCAGTCGCCTATTGTCTAAACGAACATTTTAACTGAAGTATGTCTTTGGTGTGCAGATGATTCAGTGATCTCTGATATTCCTACAGTCTCAAATGTTCGGCAGGATCTTACAGAATTTCAGGAAAAACACGCAAAGTTTGTTCTTTCATCTGTCAAGGTATGACTTCTGTTGTTCCTTATTAAACTAGGGGGGTACTACTTTGGTTGTTATCATCCTCACAGAGTAGGTCAGTCAATCGACTACATGTCAGTTCCAACCTAGTTTGGAGTCAGCTATAGTAATCTTCTTTATTCATTTCTCACAATCTGTCCCATTTCATAATATACAGGTCAGAGCATATTGGTGAATTCAATATTAAGATAATAACATTGGTTTTAAGTTTGTCATCAACCTATTATATCCCTCTCATTTATCTGTACTTACTACTGTTAATCCTTGGGGAGCTCACATAGAGTTACCCACTCAGAGTTATTATTTAAGTAGATAAGTCTTATGCACTTGTGCTTAATCAAGTGTAAATCTCAAGGGTCTCAATGTTTGTTGCTTTATTTTGTGTTTTGAATTTAGAAGTTCACTGACTCTCCTGGTCAGCTTCTTTTGTCAGTTCATGGGACATGACAATTTTTGTTGAGTACTTTATAATCTGCTATTTTGAATTTTGTAATCTGCTTTTTTGAATTTTGCTGCTGAATGTATCTTTTTTGATTTTTAGGTCACAATGTGGGATTTTTGTCTGATAAACAAAAAGAAAAGTATACTGTCTCAGAAGTTGTCATTGTTAATAAGAGCATTACTGTGGTGTGTTTGCAGGAAATTTCAAAGCTAAGATATGAGTTATGCCCACGGATAATGAAGGAAAGGAAGTTCTGGAGAATCTACTTTATTTTAGTTAACAGTCATGTGGCCCCGTAAGTACCTCACTGGAGATCTTTCATTTCATGTCACATAGTAATCTCTTACACAAACCGACCTAATTCTGTCTGTATTTCTGGAGTATGTTGGGATGCTATACAGTAATGCAGAATCATGTTGGCTTTTTAATAGGGAAGGTTTCAGTATAAAAGAGCTTGTCTTATTTAGGACTAAGGGATGAAGATTTTTGTTTTTTGATGTCAAGGGAAACCCACAGCCGCTGCCCTCTGGGTGCGCACAGGGTAAAGCCCCCCGCTCAATGCAATATCTCGCAAACCACATAGGAGAGGTAACCTCCACTAGGCAAGACGATGCAACGAGCTCGACCCAGAAGGCAAACCTCTTGCTTTCTCTGGCATGGGGTTTCAAACTTGAGATATCCAACATGGAAGTCCCAAGCCCAAACCATTGGACCACCCCGAAGGGTAAGGGGATGAAGATTTTGACAGTTCATTAAGAAGAGAATGTAACCTTTCCAAGGGTTCCAATAGTGGGAATAGACTAGGCTAATTGTTTGACGATTACTAGTGCCATTCTCATTTCGTCTGATGTAGTGGAAGGGCCACCTGAATTGTTTTTTTCTAACCAGTTTCTTTTCATTTTTCTTACTTTAAAAAAATAAGAAGGGAACACGTAAGATGACTGTAAAATGATGCACGGTGTGATTTCAGTGATAATAAATGCCAAGGATGTTAATGTGAAAATAAAGTTTCTTAGCTTATCTGTTTTTATTAGGATAAGACATCTGAATACACATCTGCATATTAAAAAGTTGTGTTAAGATCTGAATGCTAAATAATTTGATTGTTTGTTTTTTAATATTTGAATATGTAAAATTTGTCTTTATTTAAACTTAAAAATTAATAAATATAGAATTTGAATAAAATATGAAATTAATCTAATACTATATCAACCAAATATCATTCAAAAATTATATGATTATTGGTTGTGGTGATGACTAGTGGTGGTGGTTGTGAGTGTATATTGAGGATGGTGTTGAGGGTAGTAGCTAGTGATAATGTGGTGGGTAGTAGAAGCTGGTGGTAGCAGTTAGTGGTGGCGTTGATAGTTGGATGATAGTAATAGCTAATGGTGTTGATGAATGACAATGGTGGCTGGCAATATATTATGGTGATCGATGGTGGTAATCTTCGCTAGTGATCAATGGTTGTTGTGATAATGGTGGTTAGTGGTGATGATGTTTTGAACTTGTGGTGATGGCTGATTGTAGTGATCGAGAACTGTGGTGGTAGTTAATGATGGTGGGTGGCAACGGCAGTAGTTTGATAATGATGGGCCTGGTGGTAGCGGTGAATGAATTGAAATTGGCGAACTGTCATCGTTGATATTTTTTTAAGAAAATAGACATCTAAATGCTATTAAGACTTCATTACAAATCTTAATCCATAAGACCCATTAAGTGGTTGTAACATTAAAAACATACTTCATGGTTAAGATCGAAGCTAATGACTAAGATTAAGACTAAGATTTGAATGATTAAGATTAAGACCTTAGTGCTAATGAAGTCAGTTCCTTGGTAAATCTGATGGTGTATCTCAGCAAATATAATTGCTTTACACCTCCAAAAGCCATAGATATATTACATTCTACACATTCTATTGGTTCGTTCGGGACATGCAGGAATGTCTTTGAGCTTAAGCAACTCAAGTAAAGAATTCAGGTGATCCTTCTGCACTTTCTCTGATGAACTCCCATAATCCAAAAGAAGGTAATCATTCAATGGTAATGAAAACTCGAAGATCTCTCATGAGGTTAGACAATCTTGACCAAAAACCCTGAACCAAAGGCTAGTGCAAGAGTAATTTAAATGGAATAACAAATTTTCTTCTAACAATATTTCATGAGTTTGCTTGACTGTGATGCAATAGATGCCATTTATGTGAGGCTTGGACAGAATCTGTCAACCAGCTATTCGTTAACTGACCATGGCTTTACAACTGTGGCAGTGCTTCCTCATTATGTTTGTTGTTAAGTCATATAAGCCCAGAACAGTATAGGATTTAAAACTGTGCTGGTATAATAAATAATTTGGCAAGGAGAGAAACGATATTGGGACATAATCTGCATCTGCTGCATGCTGATGAAGAAGTGAATCAGTGGGTTTTTCAAAGCAAAGCTGATGGCATTTCTCAGTTAAAGTGCTTATGTCTTTCCTTTAGATTTTTGGTGTAAGATGAGTTATGTCGATAATGTGAAAAGCGTAATGAATATTTTTAGTTTCCTAGCTAGAAAGGAAATTGGGTTTCAGTTATCAGGTGTATACACTTCATACTATCTTAAGTGCCTCTCTACTCAATTTTATTTTACGTATTAAAAATAATAATAATGATTCGATGAATTTAGGAATAATTCCTTTATCGTTGTAACAAATTGGTGGTGTGCTAACATGCCAATGAAGACCTTGTAGAGGCTTTAAGCTAAGAGTGAGCTTTGCCTTTCAAATAAAAGCACAAGGTAAGGCATTTTAAATAGCTAATTGAAGCATATAGCTGCTTTCCCAAGGAAAGTGAGGGGACATGGTAAAATAGGAAAGAATATTTGGTCACATGCCTAAATATAGAAAGCCTGAATTGTGTTCTTTATAACCATGGTGTCCGGGTCAGCTCGCGTGCACCTCGACTAATTTCACTGGGTATCTACTATCTCCCACCAGCTCAAGTACTGGATACCTTTGTCCATTGTCCACCAAGGCTTGGAAGAAATCACCTAGTGTTTTTTCCTCCACCGGGATTTGAACTTGTGACCTCATGGTTCTCAAACCCATTTCATTGACCACTAGGCCTCACTCTTAGGTGCAAAAAACCTCAATCTTCTTCTACTTACAAGTATGCTTTCTTGAATTTAGCCCATATTAGTAGTAAGAGCTTCACTAATTTAAGTTACATCTGAATTAGGTATGAAAAGAAATACACGGAAGAGGCCAAGGCCGAAATAATATCTGTTGAAAAGGCTCAAGTTGAGAGTGAAAAGGAGGTTTCTTTAGCTGGAACAATTTGTAAACCAGTGACTGAGGCAACTGCCCAGAAAAATAAGAAGGCAACCTCATCAACATCAGACCAGGATTTGGATGTTTTTCTCCTTGGAGAAGACAGTGATGATGGACCAGGTACTCTATTTACACTACAACATATTTCCAACAGTGGATTGTGCTTTCCTTGTTTCGCAATTCAGGAAAAACATAGTTTTGTAGTCAATCTTTCTTTCCCTGTTCTTTGCATGTGTCACTTCTCTAACAAAAAGGAAATCAAAAGGAAATAAATCAGAAGTAAGGTTAGACTAAACAGACCAGCTCAGTCTTTTGTTGTATATTAGATAGGTATCATTTCCATTTTTTAGTACTCCATCCATCGCAGTTTCTTTGTCTTACTTCCCTTTTTAGTATATTTCAAAAAGAATGCCTCGTTCCTAATTTGGCAACATGTTTATTCCAATATCCCACTTGATATATCCAAGGCCACAAGATGAAAGGGCAATGCATTGTTGGATTGATAAAAACTGTTTTTACAATTTGTGTCCAATATAATTGTGGTAGTTATATACATTAGTTTTCCAAAATTATAATGAATTAATGATAATATTCTCATAAAAAGGATAATAGTAATAACTGTTAGAATCGTTCCTCTGTAAATTGTTAAATTTTAGTTTGTATACATGTTGTGTCCAGTCCACTCAAGTTTGTATCTAAAGTCTGTTGCCATCATGAATAAAGAAAATAATTTTAGAAAGCAATTATTTTCATGCAGTTATTTTTAGCCGTCTTAAATCCACATTTACCATCTCTGCTTGTAATCATTTAAGTTATGTTCGTATTTAGGATAACTAGTACCATATGCATACATGTCATGATGCAGAACATCTGCAAGACAATTTCAGAGAACCCAAACAAGAGCATAAAACATAATCAGATGCATACAGTGTGCACCAAAGATCTGCAAGACAATGTCAGAAAACCCAATCAACAACATAAAACTTAAACATCTCGTTTTCATTCTAATGTCTTTCTTTATACATCTTTCTTTTCAAGTATTGCTTCCTTTCAATAACGTTCACTACTATAAATTATTGCAAATGTCCTCATAACATTAGTAAATACATGATAATCTCTATTTTTCTTTGCAGAAGCTATAAATGTTCACTCCGGTAACCACCAAAAAATGATTTTAATTTCTGTGCTGTATAATTACTGAGATGGCTGAAGTATTTTAGTCCAATTTGCCAATCCAATCATGTTCTAGATATATGTTGCTTAAATTGGCTGACAGGCTTCTCTAATTTTATGAGTGTCACTATAACCATTTTTAGTTTTATATTTCATGTCCATTCTCTTGCTTTTCAAGATTGAATGTGTTGTTCATTTTAAGGTTTGCTTTTTTTGTTGCTGTTGATGAATCTAATTCGTGGTTAGGGAAATTAAAGTAGAATTGAAAGAAATTCTGAATGATCAAGGTACGTTGACTATCCTGTTTTATTTTTCAGATGATGGGGATGATGCCTTTGATGATGATTTTGATAAGATATAGATTGGTGAGTTTTATTTCTGTTCTGTTTAAAAATAAATACTTTACCACTGACTTATTTGTCTGCCCCTCAAATAACATAAGTTGAGGGTTGAAACGATAAGTCAGCAACTTTGACATGTTTGAATCAAACACAAGAAATAGCTGTGTGAACTATGTAATGCAAGTAGTGCTTCTGATGGGAGGGAACTTTCAGTATGTAAAACAAATACTATAAGGTGGACATCTAAACCGTGGATAACTTAGCTCTGTGTGTTTGTATGTTTGTTGAGAAGGTTGGAAGGGGTGAGTTTCCGCCAGTCAAGGTCTTACGATTCTAGAGTGGGTTGTAGCACTTGTTTATGTGGTAGGTCTGCTAACTTGGACGAGTCTGCAGGAAGCTCTCAACATTGAAAGTCTGCATAGCAATGGCTGCCTTGCGCTCAGGAAGCTTGGGGATGAAGTCCTTCTGGATGAGTTATATTCCTATGGAGTAGCATGATGAAGCCAGCTACATCAATTAGTCAATGCTCACCATATTCCACTCCCTCTATTCTTCCACAGTGGGTTGTTGCATTTTATTGTTATTTATTCTGTGATGTATTCTTTACGTACTGGAAATACAGAAAAAAGGTGGAAAATGGAGGTCAAATAGTATATGATGGTATTTGGAGCTGTAAATTAGAGTTGTTTTTATTGTGTTTATGCTGTATTAGCAACAATTATTCATTAGATATCTACTTTTATATAGTGATAGTGAACAACAGTAGATTCGAGATGCTATGTTTTCTATATGTCTAATTGCTTTTATCAATTGTGTTTTGGTTCGATCTTTCGCAATGAGTGTCGGTGCTCTTTGCTTAGGGTGTCAATCGATTAATATATTGTCTTTTTTTGTGAAAAACTATTGTTAATTTCTACATGTATAATATTTGGGTAGGGTCAGTCCATCATCAGTGGGGAGGATTTTGGATTTGGTGGTTTTGGGGTTAGAAATCAAACGGGGAAAAAGAATCATGTTAGCATTTTAAGTGGCATATGATATTAGTAGAAAATAAAATAAAAATTCCAATTTTGTGTAGCTGCCACTGACCAACTATCCCATGTTGTGAAGTGGAAGGAATGTAATGTTTTGGGAATAAACATGGTAGAAAGTTTATAATACCTAGTTATTGACAAATTTATATATGACGGAAGATGTGAGAAAACTAATTCCAACACAATGGTGTTAAAAGGGGCATGCAAAATTGGCTACTTCAGGAACAAACAAATACTCATGTGTTTCGACCTGATAGAAGATTTTGTAAACATTATGTCATAAACAATGACGTTCGTAAGATATTTTTTTGGAAAAATAACTTAAATACACAACTATAATTTTTATATTCTCCAATTTTTCCTACTTTTTTTAAATATTACATAATTCCCTTTTTTTTTAGTGTAAGTTTTTAGATACATTACATTCTCTCTCTTATAATACACATTTACCCATTTTAATGCCTATTTTTTCTCCATTAAAACATTCAACCTCTTAAATCAGTTTTTGAATTTTAAATTTTATCCATTTAAACACTCAACCTTCTAATCAGCTTTATGATTTTGAATTTTTAAATTTAATTAATTTTAATTAAAAGACCAAATTTTGAACTTTTGAATTTCAAAATTTAAAAAATTTGAAATTTAAAAAAGTAAAAATATCAGGAAGCAGGACAACTTCCATTAACTTCTACCGTCTTCTTCTTACTCCATCAAATTTCAATTCTTTTTTTTCCTTAATCATCTTCATTCATCTTAACCCATTACATTTTTTTCTTTTCTTCTTTGCAAGATTCTTTCATAAATTAATTATTGGATTTACTACCTCTCTT